GTAAAACGTCAGCAGTGGCTTGGTTGGAGAGAGTTGAGGGACAGGGACAGAGAGAAGTGCTCCATGCAAGTTTTCAAGGCTGGCTCCACCGAGAAGGAACATGCAGACACCCCACCCTCAGCCAAATCAAGGTTTGGGGGAAGGGGTTCTGAGCGCTCCTTTATACAACTTCGGGAGGGGTAAACACCTGGCCACCCTGTTTGAACTCTGGCTCCTGCTTAGGGGCTTCTGGAAGCATCGGACGTTTTTTCTGAAGGGCAGGTTCCCTGGTCGGTGCCCCGTCCCCCCAACTCCAGAGACCTGGAGTGGAGAAATCAGAGGGGACCAGGCCTACCTTTGAGGTTTGACGTCCCTACAGTGGACACAGCTGGAGACGAGGACTGAGCAAAGCAGTTGAAGGCAGCCTGTTCGCTGGAGGACTCATCTGAGGTGCCATTCTCCTTTTTATGTCTGTCATCAAACACCCTCATGGACTGCAGGGTGAGCTGTTTTCTGTGGCAGAAGCCCACACCCAGCATTACAGAACCGGACATACATTTCCCCTTTTGTCTGCCTCATCCTGTCCAAAGAGGCGTGCACACACACAACCTCACCCAGCCCACCACCCATGGACAACTCGACTGAGTTCTCTGAAACCTGCTTGCCCCAAGGCAGCCACAGAGACCCAAGCATGGTTTTTGACCCTTTAACTAGGCTGGAGAGAGTGGCACGGGGCTGGGGGGTGGTGTTGGAGGAAGGAGGCTTCAGAACCAGGGGCTCATTAGGGAAAGGGCATGGGCCAGAGACAGCTAAGCAGCAGCCTTACAGAAGGAGGGGACCTGGTTGCCCCAACTGGTGAACACAAACAGCCTACACACCCCGGACTGGTTGCTAAGACTGGGAGGAAGTTGCTTCTTTCATGGTGCACTTTAATTGTTTTACCAACACATTAATTAATCGTAACCGGAGTAAAAAAGAAAAAATCCATTTAGATGTTAGAAATTATTTTATAATGCTCACCCCCACCCTGCAAGGGGATAGGTTAAAGATTTGGACTGATTTGCTGGATTTTAGAAATTCTTTGAAAGCTGGGAGGGGAGGGGAGAGCGTCTTCCCTTATACTACCCAACTGTCTGCTTCATGCAAAATGATACATATGCCCATGAAGGAGGGAGCCACAGATTTCTCAAGGGGCCTCAGTTCTGTCTGATGGTATTTGCAAGACAAGATGGCAAAAATTCCAAAGCATTTTGTGAATGGTTTCGTCCTTTCCTGGGCCCTGCCCAGGATGAACCTCAATTAATTAGGAATTAATAGGCGTCTGTATATAATCTGTTATCCCTGACACTTCTCTTTCCAGAGACAAAAATGGTGTGGCCTAGTTCATCTCCTTTAAGGTAACTTGTAGGGAGAAAAAGTACAGTGTCCTAAGGTCCGCAAGCAGGTGGCAGGGTGGCAGTCAATTATTTTCCACCCTCTTCCCCCCCGATTTCTTAATAGAAGTGCCTGCATCCCACTTCTAATAGTTGAGATTTGGGCCCTAGAAAAGTGATTCGCCAAATTATCTGAGAAAGTAATACCAAGTGTCTCCACTCACCTTTTTTCTCTCCTGCCATTTCCAGTGTCCCGGAAACCTTTTGCAAAAGGGTTGTTGTCTATTTTTAGCTGAGTTATCTAGAGGAGGAGACACAAGCAAGAAAGAGACATTGGCCTCATTTTCTAGAATGCTTTGGGGGTGTTTTTTCCCCCCAACTCTGTCTACTAGAAATCTGACTGCCAAAAGAAGTCAGTAGGCTATGCCAGGTTCAAGAGAAGGGAGAGGAGCTCACAGTGTCAGTCAGAGGGGAGTGAGAGAAAAAATCCAAAGAACTGTACCAATGACTTGCATCTCTCAGAGGAAGCCAAACCAGGGATTCCACACTGAAATTAAGACTGTCTGGGAAATGCCTCCTTCTGTTCTGTAGGCAGCCTTCAGAGCTTGCGTTTAGAAATGGAAAGATTGTCAAAAGCTGTCAAAGGGACAACCTGTAGATCTTAAAATTGTGCTTTCATTTTTTTTTTACATAGTGCAATTAATCATTAAATATGTTATGGCCTATTTCCTACCCCCAACACACACACACACACACACACACACACACACACACACACACACCCCACAGCATACACTCCAACCTTTTCTGTGAATCTAATGAAATGATTTATGGGGTTTTCGCTACCCTTGTGCCAGAGTGGGTTTGATTTTTTTGCTGGGTCTTGTGGGGAGGGGGGGAGGGTTGAGGAATTACAATATTGACAATTACAGATGTCAAAGGACTGAATGACCACTGGAAACATTTGTTTTCATTTATATGCTCTGCCACCGCCATTAGGTTGGAGAAGGCCTCTGGCCTCTTCGTCTGATCAAAAATGGTACATTTTATTATTACATTAACGACTTACATTCACAGGGTTCTGGGTCTAGAGGGAGCATGCATTTTGCACGCTGGGGTAAAATGCCATAGTATGTCATCTTTCAAATCCCTTCCCTTTAAGGGGAAAAAAAAATGTATTATACAGAGTTCCCCAGAGGTGGGAAAAGGGCCCTTTGGTTGGATTCTTGTTTCTCGGAATAAACTCCCGTATGCAAGACTGCAGGAAGAGGAGGTCCTGGAGTCTTAGTCTCCGGATTAAGGAAACATACCTGAACACCCCCAGGGCCAGCCAGAGGACCCACCCACGGTGACAGTGAGTTCAAATGCAAGGTGTTGTCAGATAAGCTGGACTCTCCCTGAGGTAAGAAGAGCAGGGGTCCTCAGTTGCTCCCCACCCCCATAACTGCCTGCAAACAGCCACACTGGGAACTGGTGAATCAGCAAGAGTCACTTTCTCCGTCTCTCTGTGCACATGCCCATGACCTTCAGGCCACCTAACTTTATATACCAGGTGCTGCCTGTTGTTCCATCTGGGGGTACTCCTAACCCCAGGCCTGAGGCCCAAGGGAGGAAAAACCTTCAAATGAAATGATTTTGACTTTGGTCATCTCATCTCAAAAGCCTCAGACAACTCGATTAGCATGACCCTGTGATCAGAGAAGTTTTTTCCAAACACACACACACACACACACACACACGCGCGCACACACACACACACGCACACACACACACACACACACACACACACACACACACCCCATAAAAAACACAGCAGCATAAAAGGTAATAAAAACCAGACCAGCTACTCAGGATTTCTGGCTAGGGGAGAAAAGCTGCTCTCCAATGGGATTCTCCTCCCAAGATCCCAAATGGCTTTTGCCTTCAATTTTTAGCTGGTGCCTTTAGAACTTGGAACCTGATTTTTGATCCTTCATCCTGGAGAAGAGGCTAAGCCTCAAAACAAGAGAAAGGCCCAAGTGGGGAAGTGGCTGTGAGCACAGTTACAGGAGTGAAGTTAGTCTGGCATCTTTTTGCTCCGCGTCGGATTCCTAGCTGGTCAAGTTTTTGTTTTGCTTTGTTCTGTTTTTTTTCTGTTTTGTTTTCCCCTGCCTCTGTGGCGTGCCAGACCCCCTTTCCCCAAAAGCTCCACTGGAAGGGTCAAATCACAGAAGAAAAACTCAAGACTCCCATCCCTAATCTTTTCTAACTTTCTCCACCTCACCCAGAGAGGCCTAAAGGTGGGAGGGAAAAGTATAGCCATTAAAAAGAAAAGCGCCTTTGGTTACCTTATCGTTCTGGTATGCCGTCACAGCGATGAATTCGGTTTCGGGGAACAAGTAAGTCCGAAATGTACTATAGGGAAGTTTCAAGATGTCATTGGCTCTCACAATGTGGAACCGAGGCTGGTATTTGTGCATGGAGTTCAATATTGTCTGCGGGGACGGGTGGGGGTGGGGTGGGGGGGAGGTGGAGGGGAGCAGGGAGAAGGGGAGACACATCAAAAAAAAAAAAAAAGAAGATTTAGTGGGACCAATGGGACCTCAGGACCCCTGCCAGGCTGACGTCTACCCCACCGAAGGGTACCACGCTTATGCCGAGCCCACCTCCTCTCCTCGGAGTACCTTTGGGTACATTCCGCTCCACAGATATCCTCTTCTGGAGAATCCAAATTGCTCCTCAAATTTCCAAAGGGTCCCCCCCACCCTCACCACCTAAGGTCCGTTCGTACCTTGAACCCTAGCCTACCTGAGTACCAAAACTATAATTCCCCTGCCACGTTGCGTGATCACTTGGGAAGGCCAAAGTCTTAAAAGATAGAGAAAAACATGCATTTTAATTTACAAAATGATTCAGTCCTTTAAGCGCCCACTAATTGACGAGCCCAATCCACTTAAAGCCCTGAAAGGTTGAACTCTAGAGAGGAATATTTATGCCTTAATCAAATCAAGGGCTTCAAAGGCAATCCTTGCCCGCTTGAAGATACTTCCGTGCCATTCACGTCTTCCTGGGCCTAATCTTTCTGCTGATTCCTCGCTTATCACTCGGCTTTATTTGTTGAAATGTTGGGGAGAGGTAGGGGCAGGGGGCAAAAGGTGTTTTGCTTGACTTTCATAAGCAATTCTGGTCTCCTAAAAGTTTCTAAGGACTCTCCCACTGAATCCATATATACACTCCCAACACAGACAGACAGACAGACACACACACACACACACACACACACACACACACACACACACACACAATTTTTATCCTGGAGAGCTCAGCCTCATTTCTAGTAAACCTGACTTTCACCTCAGCCCCATATTCTTTTCTCACAGAAGAAAGAAATCTCTCAAAAAACGCATTCACCCCCTTTAACCAACGTAGCCAAGCCTCTGAACCTTAAAACTCCCGCAAGAAATAATACAGCTGGTTTCAAAACACAAGTATGGTAGGTCAGAACCAATCCCTGGCACACACATAACTTTAAAAATTGATTTTGTATCTTAACGATTGGTTTTTATCTTCACTGTCAGCCGTTTACCAAGATCTGGGATTGCCACAGAATGTGAGCGGTTAGTGTTTTGGCCCTCAATTTTTTTTTTTTTTTTTTTTTGAGAACGCCAGGCCTTCCATTATCCGAAGAGAAACACCCCGGAATCCTCTGTTTCGGATCGAACTTTGCTATGCTTAGCAACAGAGAGCAAGGGAGAAGCCTGAGCAGAAACTGGTGATTTTTGCAAGGAGAGGGGAAGTACTGCCTTCGCTAGGGTGAAGAAAGAGGAAATTTTACTGACAGGAGCCGTGTAACTTACAAATCCGTGTTTGTCCGAAATGTTGTTGGTGAGTTTCAGTTTGTGGAAAGTGACAACTTTGGACATCCACTGTTCCCCGGTAGCAGGGCTGTCTGGGTGAATGTACATTCTCTTTGGCATTTCAGGGTCAGCCTTACCCGCCACCATCCACCGAGAATTATGAAATTTATATCGACAGTCATCAGCAGCTATAATGTCCATCAACAAGATATATTTGGCTTTTTTATCCAGCCCAGAACATCTTACTTTAAATGGAGGAAACATTCGCCTACAATTGGAGGGAAGAGAAAAGAATAAAGAAAAAGAAATCACTCAGACTCTTGGGTTTGATTCCCTATTTAGCCTGAAATACTTAAATCAAATTTAAAACTTTTCTATTGTGATTGACTGATGGGCTTTGGTGTGAGAGCCACTGAGTGCAAAATCCTATTCTTTCACGGCCCAAGCATTACATATGCTCAGTTTCTCTACCGGGAAATGTCCCAAGGTTCAAACAAGTGAATATTGCACTACAGTTATTTTAAGCGTCTAATACTTTCTCCACAATTTTTTCCTCTTGTAGGACTTCACAGATGGCCCTCTTTACAGAGAAATTCTTGCCTGTGCTCCTCCCTTTGAGTGTCTACTTCTAAATTGCTTGGGGTAGGATTTTAGTAAAGTGGGGTCAGTCAAGGCTAGAATTTTCCACCACTCCATTGATGAGAAAATGTTAGGAAATAAACCTCCACCCTCCCTGCTACGGAACAGGAATCCCGTGGCTGGCGAAATGAAACTGGCCTTCAGTGAGTTCTCAAAACGAATTTTGTTGTTTGGGCTGGACTCCTGGGCCTGATAACCAATCTGCCTCGCATGCCTGCTAACCGCGTTTCTTCTACGGCTCAGGCTGGTCCCAAACTGCAAGATTGTACCACCAAACTGCCTTTTATTTCTCAGGAGTGTTGGCATTCTAGAGTCTTGACTTAAAAGGAAGCACTTCGCTGTGAAACTGAGGAAATGTCTTCTGGGTTTGAGGATTTTCTGCCAAAACTTTGGCCTCGTTTAGCTAGGAAAGACACAGAAAGCTCAAGACATCGAGAGAGGGATTTTCTTTTTACTATTCCAATGTTATGCCTTCATAGACGTCAAGGCCATAAAAAAAAAAATCAGTGATTTTAAGTGACAGGTAGGTTTTGGTCAGGCAAGGACCTTTTGAAAATTATATAAAATATGGTTGATAAGATTCACACGTAAAAAAGCAGTATGTGTCTCTCCACTGGCTCCTTGGATCTGCAAACATAATCTTAATTATCCAAAATTGCCTCAACTCTCCCTCGGATTACAGACACGTGAATTGGTGTGGACAAACAAACCCAAATGCCCTCCAATTTCTCTGTGACCCTGCCAGAGGCAAGCTCAGACCCCCCTGCAGACCCAGAGGCTAGGTTGGAGGGGCAGAAAGGGCAAGTGGAGAGCTAGTGTCAGGTCTCCCACGACCACACAAAAGAAAAGGGCGTAAAGTTGTTCTCACTGGGAACAAAATGAAACAAACGAAACAGAACATCAACAAAGGCATAAGGATGGAAAGGTTTGCAACAGTGAATTTCCTACAGTGGGGTGGTTTTCTTTCTTCCTGCAGAGGTGTCTGTGCTCCCTGGAAAAATTCTAGCCTGTAGGGAAATCCAGGATGCAGAGCTAGGTAGGAGAAAGTACCCCCTGCAGACGCCCAGGTAAGCTGAAATTTCCTGCCATAGAAGCAGGGCCGGGGAATGTCTGTACACGGTTCCAGGGGAACTTTAAGTTTTTCTCAGAAAGCCCAAATTAACTGGCAAACCGACTGTTCTGAGAAGAGATAAAAAGGGGGGGTGTAAAAAAAAAACCTCCAATAGTTTGGGGGTAGGGGGCTCTGCTACTTGCTTACCTTCCCGACTTGGTAATGACCATCTCGGTGCCCCGCTTGTGGAACTGATCCCAAAGTTCTTTGGCCTCGAGGTGCACCTTGGGGTCATCCTCCACCTCTTCTTCGGGCTCCATGGTCTTCAGAGGCCTCAGATGCGCCTGGGGCCCCAGGGACGAGAAAGGGATGCCGGTCTCGGCCGCCCCCACCAATTGATCCATGATCGGCTTGGCCAGGGCGCCCGGCAGGGAGAGCGCCGCCGCGCCGTTGGGAGGCAGCGTCAGCGCGGGGAAGAAGGGCGGCTGGTGACCCAGCACCGCGCTCATGGCGAAGTCCGGCGCCCGGTGAGGTAGGAACGGATGGTAGGCCATGCTTGTCCCAGGAATGACCGGATCTCTCATGGAGAGGCTCATCCACTCCAGGCGGGGCGCTGGGCTCCAGCCGGGGACAAGTCCGCAGCTGCTGTTTGGTTTTGTTTTTGGTTTTTCAGCAGCGCATAGTTTGGAAAGGGGAAAAAAAAAAAAAAAAAAGAAAGAAAGAAAGAAAAAAAGGGGGGGAATCACCACTCGTGCACCCTAGGGAAGGGGGAGGAAAGAGTCTCTCGGGGAGGGGGGATGCCGCTTTTAAAGAGGGCAAGGCGAGAAATCAGGAGACATAGTCGCTTGGGTGACTGTCCTTGTGCCTTGCGTTTTTTTAAAAAGCCGCTCCTGGAAGTCGGTTTCACCGGCGAGAGGAGCGAGCAGGGTCTCACCCGCGCCCGAGCCCCGCCGCTTCGCCGGAAGAGACACCGCAGCCCCCGGTCCCGGGAATAGCTCCCCGGCCCCCAGTTCTTTGTTGCAAATGCGAACGGCTCCGCTCGGAGACTTTTTACCTTTTCTTCTCCTTCTTCTTCCCCGCCCCCCTGTCTGTCTTCCTCTCCCTCTTTCTCGCTGGAGGCGTCTGCAGTTGCGCTAGACCCGGCTTCACCAGCGAGCGAGAGAGCGGAAAAGTCTCTCGCCTTTAAAAAACCAAACCAAACCAAAACAAAACAGAAAAACACAACAACTCCTGATTTAAGCCCTGTTCTACCAGCGCTATCAAAACTTGAACTGCAAACTGGCTTCCGTTCGCCCTCCTCCTCCTTCCTCTGCTCCGAGCCTCCGGAGGGTGTCTGGGTTGCAATCCGAGTCTTGCCGCGCTCTCCTCCCGCGCCTGTCTTCCTTGTCCTAAAACGTGAGCGAAATCGCTTCCTAAATCTGCGTCCAGACGCGCAGGGCAGGGAGGATTTAGTAGGGGGGGAATGAAAAGGGAAGAGGGGGAGAGAGAGAGCGAAACAGAGAGGAGAGAGAGAGGGACGGAGTGGGAGAGGGAGCGCGAGGAGAGGGAGGGAGCGAGAGCGAGCGAGCGAGCGAGAGAGAGCTCCGCGCCACCCTCCTCCGCCTCTAGAATTCCCCGGGCGTCTGCTCGGCGGCTCTAGAAGGTCGGGCTCTGCTGTGGGCTGCGGGGAGCCGGAGGCCTCTTGATTGGCTCTTTGACGCTTTCGGACCAATTGTGTTGCTGCATAGGCGTGGTTTTCACAGGTCGAGTGCTGGGGGATAGAGCCGAGTTATAAAAAGAAGGTGTCGGAAACTGTAACGTCGCAGCGCCGCATCGGTACTACTGCCTGTCCTGTGAATATGTCAACATGATCAGAAGGAGGGCGGGGAGCCACTGGGGAGCGCGCGCAGAGTCGCCTCTAGGTGGCTTATCGAGAGATCGCCGCAGCCCCTGAGCTAGCTCGCCTGCGCTGGCTCAGCCCACGTCTGAAATGCCTCAGTCATCCAGCCGGGGATCGAGGGAGGAGGCAGGGCCCGGGAGGAAGGGGAGGAGGAGGGAGGGAGCGCGCGGGGCCAGGAAGGCGGAGAGCGCGCCGGGCGCCGGGCAGGGGCGCTCGCCTCTCGCGCGCTCGGCTCGCCTGGTCTCCGGGCCGCCGCCGCCGGTTCTCTGTGCGGCTCACCCGCTCACCGCGGCCCCGGGAGGGCCAGGCGGACGGCCGAGTGCCCCGCGAGCTGCCATTCCGCCGCCGGGCGCCACAGAAGGCGGCAGCGGCGGAGAGGCGAGCGCCGAGACTCCGGCCTTGCGCGCTCTCCAGCCCCACGTGGAGCCAAGCTCCGCCCGGCCGCCGCTGTAGGGCTCCCGAGCTCGGGTGGCTCTCGGCGCCGGGCTCCCGGCATCTGGGCTCGTGGGCTCCCGGGCTCCCGGGCACACGCGGGCCGGGGGCTCCCTCTGGCCCGGGCCCCACCCGAGATTGTGGGCGGACACCCAGACACCCCGGCACTCCTGCGCGCGGACACTCGCGGGCACCCTGGGACCCAGCCACCCGCGGGAAAACACGTACACGCAAACACGTACACAGCCTGCGCCGCCGGCCCTGGTGGCGCTCCCCGGGGGAGGCGGACTCTGGGTTTTGTTTTGTTTTGTTTTGTTTTTTCCGAAATGCATTTACCAGCCCTTTTAAGTCTTGTCTAATATCTGAATCCGGGCTCCCCGAGAGTTCCGCCTGAATGTGTGCGTGAGTGTGGAGCAGAGAATGGAGACCCGGACAGAAGGAGCGCCGCGAGGGACTAGGTTCTGGGCCTGCCCCCGCGGAGCCGCTGCCCTCACCTCCCCGGGCCGCGGGCGAGCTGGGAGGGGGAGGCGCGCCCTCCTTGTATAATCTCCAGGCGTCGCACTTATCTCTCCGTGCACCCGGGGACTTATCTCACCAGAAGTCGGGGGTGAATTTGTAGAACAAACCGTGATACGCCCCCACCCCAGAGGCGAGGTGACTGTTCCAGTTCAGGTAGGGTGGGGGCGTCAGCGAGGGTGCAGGGGAGGGAGGGAGGGAACTTACGAAATCAGACCTGTCGCCGAATTGATATCTGTTACCGCAGGTCCCTGTCTGGGTCAGAGATTTCCCCAAACCCACATTTCTCGCTTTTGCGGGGGTGGGGGGGGGCAGTGAGTTGGGCCGTCCCTGCTTAGATGGAGGGAAATCTTGGGGGAGAATGTCTTTTACCCTTCCTGAGTTGAGAGTTGCCTCGAGTGGAAAGGAAAGGAGAAAGGGCTGCTTTAGGGGCCTAGGGGTTAGGAGACCCAAGGCTTGGGGTGTGTGTGTGTGTGTGTGTGTGTGTGTGTGTGTGTGTGTGTCTGCGTAGACAGTCAGAACCATGCTCTCTTAGTTTGCCTTGTGGACCCCCCAAACCCCCAGCCCCCAGACTCCGAAATCGGAGCAAGTGGAGGGTGAAAATGCACTTCTTTTGTGGGCCAACCGCCTCAAGATAGGGGCGGAACTTTTGAGGCGACAAGCTTTTCCAGCCTCGCATTTTTGACGCACATGGTTAAGAGCGCTTGGCGCCAGCGCTGAGAATTCCCTAAAGTCACCAGAGAGAATGGAGTGGTTCTTCGAACTGCGTCTGGCTCGCCATCTCGCCCCTTTCTTTCCCTGTCGGCCTTTCTCTGGCGTCCTCTGGGGTCTCTCTGCCAGTGGTTGAGAAGAGAGAAAGAGGGAGAGAAAAGCAAGAGGCGGTAGGGGCCCGGGGTGTCGGCTCACTTCTCCCCCCCCCCCACCACCTCCCGCGTCCCTTAGCGGCCCGATCCTGGAGGGTGCGAGAGGCCAAGCCTTCCCCCTCCTTACGCCGTCCACCGAGGTCACCGCAGGGTTTCACGAGTCTCTGGAGGCCCACACCCACCCCCTCCCCCACGTTGCTCGCCGCCTGAGCCCGGGGGCAGCGCCGCGGCGCTTTGAGGAGCGGCCCCAAATCCCCGCGATCAGGTTTTGCCTGCACTCGCCAGCCAATCTCTGCCCGGCCGCTGGGAGTAGAAGGAAAGCAGTTCTGCTGGCACAACGTGACTGACCCCCCTCCTCACTCTCTCGGTGCCCCAAGCGTCCAGATGCTCGGGAGAGACATTTCCACCAGGGCCTGGGCTTCCTGGCCTCCCTACAGTCTTGGACGTGGGAAGGGAGCTTGCTAATTTTACTTGTAAATATCTCGACTTGCCTTTGGCCCCAGAGTGGACCGAGCGGGATCTCTGGCCCTCACACCGCCCCCTCCCTCAAATGCCTATTTTTGCCCCTTGCTCTAACTACCCCGGGGTCACCCTAGTTGCCACTCCATATCCCCACTCCCATTCTTGCTCGCAAGGGGTGGGGGGGTGGGGAAGAGAGGAAAGTTTGCGGGGTCTGATTCGAAAATGTCCACCTCTTGCTAATGGTCTGCAAACTTCCGCCAATTATGACTGACCTCCCAGACTCGGCCCCAGGAGGCTCGTATTCTGCAGGGAGGCCGCGGCAACTTGGGATCAAAAGCGGGAAGGTGCGAACTCCTCTTTGTCTTTGCTGGGCCGTCGCGCCCCCCTCCCGGTGGGTGATAAACCCACTCTGGCGCCGGCCGTGCGCTGGGTGATTAATTTGCGAACAAACAAAAGCGGCCTGGTGGCCGTCGCATTCGGGTGAAACACTGGCCAGCGCCTTCTGGAGACTTGCGCCAGGCCTGGCAGCCAGGGGACCGCGCAAGCCTAGCGCGCCCCAGGCCCGCGGCATTCGGCCCCAGGCGCGGGGTCTACACGGCCTTCTCTCTCCCTCTCTCTGTTTGCAGCCCCCCTCGATAGTCTCTCTCTCCCCGCCTCGCGCTCAACAAAAGACATTTGGGAAACACTGAATGAGTCTTCCCCTCCGCAGAGTCTGAGGAGCGGTGCTTTAAGGGCGGGAGAAAGGAGCAGGGGGGCTAAAGTTTGGATCGCAGGGGACCCACGGAACTTCTGATGGCCCCCAGATATTCCTCGCACCTTTTTGCAGGCCTGATTTTTTTTTTTAATTAAACCCACCTCTCCGTGTCTGTAATGCCTGCAGTTTTAACGGCCAAGCTGTGTGTGTGTGTGTGTGTGTGTGTGCCGATGGTAAAGTGGGGAAGGGTTAGGGGAACCTCAGAACAAATTTCCTATACACACACACAAATGCGAAACCAAGCCACTGCCCAGGCCACGGACGCAGCAGAAAAGCTAGCTTTGCCAAAGATCGCCCAGGAAGCCTCTGCTGGATCCTACTTTTCCCTATGGCACCGCCTGCCTCAAACTATAAGGGGGACCAACCGACCCTTTGGTGACCGAATGGTGTTTATCTGCAGTTTACAAAAAAGGGGGGGGGGGGGTGGGGGAAAGGGATGGTGGGTAGGCGGGGTGGTTTACTTTGGCAAGTTTGCTGTAAATATTCTCTTCAGCATGTGTGAGGTCTGGCGAGGGACTATGACACGCTTATTCCCTCTTAAACTTTCCCCCCCGTTTGCTGCGGAGCTTTTTTCAGTCCGAGGTGTCGCTAAATTGGAAACTCTGTTGACATAAGGACATCCCTGTTTCTCCAGGGGTCTGAGGCCTAATTAAGAAGTTTCCTACAGTGGTCGGTCAATATGCAAACTTT